TCCTTTGGCCAAGTGTAACACAATGACATTTGGCTCCTGGAGAAAGAAAAGCATAACACAATTGTCCAGTTTCAGGAACAGTTATACAAATTTTGTTCCAAGAAGTGGACAAGAATGACATCCCACAGGATCTTGAACATTTGAAAAACACTGAATTTTAGTATTCACTAGAAATTTCTTTTCGTGTTGCTGGTCATAAAGAAGGGCAATAAAAATATCTGTTCTTCCAGCTACAGGGTAGAACACAAAGCAACAGCTAACCTGCAACACAAAAACAAGGAAAAGTTGTAGATGTGGTGACAGAAGCAAAGGGGATGCTATAGGAATAGGCTATAGATAAAAAAAATCAGTAATTCTGAGTTGGGCATCACAGAACTGGAAACAATGTCCACGTTGCAGAAGGACTGCAAAGGACCTTTTGGGCTAAGCCTTCTTTATGGTACTGGAGAAAATGGAAATGTTAGTCAGCAATGTCTGGACCATTTTGATTAAAGAGACAAATTAAAGACCTCTGGATACACCAGTGTTGTATGAATGGCCCTGTCTTCCCTCTTGTAGTGAGTAGCTAAGACCTGTAGTCATGGAGAATACATACGATTTGAGCTGAGTTTGTCTGCTCCCTCCAAGGCATTGAATGCTCCATGAACATTATGGACCTGGAAAGCAAAAAGGCATATGAAGAAAACTGTGTTCTGACTCTGTACTGATCTCTGCTTCCCTATCCTGTAACAGGGAGATCAGCCTGATTCAACTTTTCTGAACACAAAGCCTCAACCCAGTAGAAGATGACTTGAAGTATCTTGCAGTGACCATTACCACAGAGGTTAGTTCCAAGTAAAGTTGATTTCACAACACCTTACAAGATGAAACTCCAAAACCACTCCAAAGCAAAAGGAATTGCAGTTGGAAGAGGCCAATTGTGAAATTTCATTGTGAGATTATTTCCTAAGAGTTTTGCATAGTTAACTGTGAAATTCATTTATCAGGCTGAAAGGCAAATAAATGGGAGTCACATTAAGGTTAAAACTCAAGAGTTTTTCTGTAAAGGTTCCTCATGTCAGAGCAGTTGGGCTTGTATACCTTTAACTCATTAGCCCAGCTTTCACACCATGCATACTATGCCCTTGGAGATGGGAAGGACACATGCCTACACTACCATCCATTCAGCTTGTCCTGCAGCTGGTCCCAGGCATGCAAGTATCCATTTGCCCAGAACAACAGGATTTCCATCCCATGCCTTCCACATACATGATCTGGAGCCTGATGTTCACCAACAAAATAATCATCTGTGAACTCTCTAGACAGGGAAAACCCCACAGCAACAGCTGTAGATTAGAGGTTGCATCATTCACACAATGTACAGTAAGCTATACAGAAAGGACAAATAACTGCACAACCTAGAAATCCCTGACCTTAAGCCAAACAGGGAAGAAGAGTTTGGAAGCAGTAGTTGGTCATGGGTGTGACAGTTTCACCTCACTAAGAGGGCAATGCAGTCTCCTTCCCAGACCCTCTCAACAGCTGAGATCATGTGGATGTATTAGTCTCATCCTAATGGCTGTTTCCCTATTCTAAACGCTGCAAGAGTGGACGACAGTTTGGAGGAAGCAGTAACTGAACATGTTTCTCTCCTGAGAAAGGAAATTTTAAAGAGACAAAACCATCAGCAAGTTCAGCTGGCAAGGCACTGGTAACAAGGACAGAGCAAAAGCAACAACTGCGCCGTCTACGGTGCCTTTCAGTCTGCTGACATTTCAAATATTTTATACAATAGCAACCATTTCTGAACTACACATGCAGTCTGTACATATTTTTTATTCACTGTAAAAAGCAGATGAAGAAAGAGAGGCACCTGGACTGGGCTACAGTGTTACGTTCCATTCTTGATACAGCTGAAAAGTGAATCTCTTACAGCATACCTGGGCCAGAGACTTCAAGGTCCAGTTCAAACACTAACAGTAAATATTTGAGTGGTTGCTCAGCAAACAGCTGCATGTATCCTGTGAGGTACCTGTATATTTCAACTTACATTCTGTGAGGGAGCAGGGGTGAGGGGGGAGGAAAATCTACCAAGTCTGCCACTACTGTGCATGAACTACTGTTGAAGTACTAAAGCTCATTTGATGCCAGACAAGATTTAAATCTATTTCAAACAGACTGGTTTGTCTGGAGAACACAGCACGTACCTTAGTGGATCATTCTGGCTGAACTGGTAACAACCTACCAAGAATTAACTCCCATGACAAGTGAATGAGAAGCTCCTCACCTCCTTTAAGACATGAGCATATATTGCATCAAAGCAGATGGAAACAATCCAAAATATCCAAAGGTGTACCTAGACAGATTTAAAGCTCTGTGTGCTGCTTTCTGAGTCCTGGTAGCACCTGTTTAGTGAACATATCCTTCTGTAATTTGTGCTGTTGAATTTGTGTTCGCCTACAGGATCAGCAGCACCTGCATGTTCCATTCTTATGTACACAGATATTGAGTAGTTATTGTGAGCTTTGAAAAATACTAATCAGAACTTGTCCAGATCAGGAGCCAACTACTAGATAGGATCCTCACTACCAGAACTGAAGATGCTTGCTCCTTTGCCCCAAACTGTCCAGCAGGAGTAAGATGAGAAGCATGACTCGCACTTCAGCTCCACTCCCCAGAGACTCCAGGGTAAAGCAGTGGGAACACTACCTCAGAGCACCCATTTCCCACGCAGACTACACAACTCCCTATTAGCACTTACCTAATTTTTCATAATCTCAGTGTGCTTTACAGACATTAAGCCAAGCTTATTTATATGCTAATATTTCAGCGTTCCCACACAAGATATTTCCTAAAAGAAGCCAGGAGCAGAGTCAGAAGACTACAAAGCAACGCTTAGACTTGTTAGCATGAAAAAGGGTTTTGGAAGTGGGTGTACAAGAGGCAGACTAATGAGACGTCTGTGCTGAGGAAAGAAGATTACAGAGACACTATGGGTAAGCAATGTTTGGGGTGAGTCGCAAACTGGGTGTGCACACATATAACTCCCACCTGTGATGCTAGCTCCTTGGAAGTAGGCTACAGAAGTGCTGTAACGTGTCCTTATTGAGAAATCAGGAATTATTACATAACTTTCAACACCTGGTGAAACTCTATCCACAGGGCAAGGGCACACATTCAGCTTCTTCCCAGCAGGGAAATAGCAGTTCTGAGTCTAATGTGTGTTTCATATAACAAATTTGACTAATAGGTGTCTGCTGTACAAGTAAAGTGAAGTGAATTAAGAACAACATGACTGGTGCCATAGTAAAGACAGTAGCGAGCACACACCTTCCCTTAGTATACTTACTGCTCCTCTGCAAAGGCAGTCAAGGTTTGTTTGCTGTATTAATACTGAAAACAGTACTACATAGGATTCTGTAAAGCCATGAATCCTCATTCTACTCCCTGCAGAAAGACAGCCACACAGTTTTCTAAAAGCACTTTCAGTTTCAGATCAAAACAGCAAAGATACTCTGACTGAACACTGCTCCTCCTTGAAGTCGTGGCTTGTAAGCAGTTTGTGAACTCCTTTGGACTGAGTGTGCATTGCATGAATGCAAGGGATGAGCTTCCTTACCCAGGCAGTCCTTTGTTAAGTCCTCCCCCCACCATACATGGTCCTTCCACAAAACCAGAGTGTCTAACACTAGATACCCAATAATAAGTGTCCAATAATAAAGTCACTCTCATTGCATTCATTCCCCTAGAGCCAGGGAATTTTCAGAGAAGAGAACTCACCTGTAACTTGTCCCCAAATGAGAGCTTGTGGATGATGTGAGTCATGTCAGGATTCTGAGGCTGCGCAGTGGCACTGTGCGTCGACACGTGAAAGTTACCAGGGACCTAAAATTAGTCAAGACAAGGAAGACGGGATTTCAAATTTTATCCCTCAAGGCATTTCAAGGCTCTGTGATATGAAGGAGAAATGCTGGGAACCATCCAGCCTGGCAAGCCGTACCTACTTAGCAGTGGGCAACCTCTGGCACGTCAGAGAAAGGCTCTGAAATACCTTCCTGCACTTGACCAACTGCACCGTACTGCATCCAGAGCAGAGATCGGCTACAGCCCGCAGCCCAAGAGTCTGGCACCCTCACATTGCTACTGCTGCTGACTAGGAGGTGATGAGTGCATCACTCCCAACTTTAGGGATTCCTAACACTTAAGGCTATGTCTTTCATCCCTATTAAAATAAGATTCATGTCTCTGACAGGCAACAAGCAGTTGCTTAGCATTCTACTCCCACATCTTGCATTTGCGAATGGGTACACTGCTGCAAAATAACCTGAGAATGTTGTGGACATGTTCTTATTGTAGTAGTTCTGGTCACGAGCAACCTTACATTTGAGAAGATTGTGCAGAAGAATGAGTTTTATAGAAAAACAGAAAAAAAAAAAACAACAAAACCAATGGGGCTTCCCATATAAACAAAGACACTCAGCTTCTAGGCCTGGCAACAGCCCTTCCAAGTACAGGACTTTCTGGGTTTAATTTTTGAAATGGAGGGAAATACAAAGTTCTGAAAAACACAGATTGTGCCTATGGGCTCAGTTCCGAGACAGAAAATGGGCACTGGTGTCATTCTGACACGATCACTGTAGCATGCACACACTTTTCAGGCTACTAGCCCTTCTCTGTGAAGACTTTCAGCAGATTCAGCTCAATCACTGTTATGGAGGGTGCAAGATTTTTCTCCTGTTGAGAAAAGGTTGGGAAATGAAGCAACATGGAGGAGCAATCTGACATGGCCTCTAAGAGACAAGAGTGGGAGGATGGTTATACAACCGGTGCCCATTGTGCTCTCTGCAGAGACATCTCACCAGCAGGGCCACAGGAGGCCACATGCCGGTTCCATGTGCTTTCAGGAAAGCTAATTTAAATGACTTGAGGAACAGCAGTGCACTCCTGGGAACATTTTCAGGTGTGGACACAAGCTGTGTCATACACAAACTCAGTAAACAGGGTGGCAAACTCTGCAGCAAGCAGTACACATAATCATCTCACTGTCACCTTGTCCTCCCTCTTCAGGTTTGAGAATAACACCCAAGTGCAACCCTTGGTCAAGTTTCAAAGCCTGGCCATGTCCCACTCCAGACACCAGCTCATACAAATTTCTGTACAGCTTCTGTCAAGCTCACAACTTCCAGCTCACGCATGAGAGGTTCAGGTTTCCAGAGCCAGGAGTCCTGGGTCAGGTGCCCTATGTCTGACAGCAGCCCCAGCCGCTATACGAGCCAACACAGCTCGTGGCCCTCCACAGGTGAAGCAGCGAAGCGAGCTCCTCACTGCCACATCCAGCAACTGCCTTTTGAGGTGCCTTGGTGAGCAGAATACACCACATCTAGCAGACAAAATGCCGAAGAATTTGTGAATTAACAGAGCAAGAACTACGTTTCAAGAAGCCCTTTCCCAGTTTTGTGGACTATCAGCTGCCAGTAATCTTGATGGCTTAGAGGCGAGGAGAGAAACGTCCTCTTTTTAAGTCCCTAATCCTTTCCATGCAACAGAATCAGTAAGAGGTTCTGCCTGTTATTTTTAGATGTCATTTACTGTGACCTGGGAGGAACAGAAGGAAGTAGGATTTTGTAGCCTGTGGTACATGAGGAGGCATGAATAAAGGGTGTGCCCTTCTCTAGGACATCAGTGGGCCCCACCACTGCCTCTCCCACCCCAGCTAGTCATCTCCAGCATTACATAGCAAGATTATTCAATTCTGAACACACCCATCCCAGAGAGGAGCCTCCTCCAGGCCTGGATTTTCTTCTTCCATACAGAAGCAGAGCATCCTGACAAAGCATGCGCAGAGGCTGTGTGCACATATTCCAAACATCTCAGCATGGAACTGCTGCTGTTACATTGGCACCCTCTAGTAGGGAACGTTCCTGTCATTCTGCGGCTCTTGGAACAAAAGAGCACTTGGATAGAGACATTGCCAAAGACCTCTGCACAGCGAGTCACATTTTGGAGGTGCAAAAGTCAGGACAAGTAAACACAGAAGGCACTTGGCATTTGTAGGGAGTTCATACATCCCCTAAACATTAGGCTGCTGCACTGAAAGAGACAGTGCTGGCTGCCACAGAAGGCTGCTCTCTGCTGTTAAGCAATGCTATCTTGATGACCTTTTTTGCAGAATGCAGAAAAAGCCTGATCCAACACATTTTCTGTGGGTCTAACTATGCTGCTAATTCTGTTCACACCATTCTGCAGCACCAACAGACTTAATCTCACCATTGATTAGGGACATGAACAGACACAGACACAGATGTTGATGAGCATTTTACAATCTTGCCAGCACACACCCACTGTCATTC